GTTGATGTGTCCCTCCTGCTGGTCGGAGTGGCCCTCCTGTTGGTCAGTGTGGCCCTCCTGTTGGTTGATGTGGCCCTCCTGTTGGTCGGTGTGGCCCTCCTGTTGGTCGGTGTTGCCCTCCTGCTGGTCAGTGTTGCCCTCCTGCTGGTCAGTGTGGCCCTCCTGTTGGTCAGTGTTGCCCTCCTGCTGGTCGGAGTGGCCCTCCTGCTGGTCGGAGTGGCCCTCCTGCTGGTCAGTGTGGCCCTCCTGTTGGTTGATGTGGCCCTCCTGTTGGTCGGTGTGGCCCTCCTGTTGGTCAGTGTGGCCCTCCTGTTGGTTGATGTGGCCCTCCTGTTGGTCAGTGTTGCCCTCCTGCTGGTCGGAGCGGCTCTCCTTGCTGCTTGCTGTCTTGTTCCTTCCTCCCCTTTGTTGCTCATGCAGTCTTCTGTATTATGTAACATTTTTTCTCCCTATTTTAACTTTTCTTCTTAAAGGAGCCAAGTATTTTGGATTGTTTTCTTACTGCTTGTGTCAGTCAATGAGTACCAAATGCTTTTTAAATTTGTCTCCGTCTACTTGAGGTCAATGCTAACTTTAGACCACACTGAGTTGCCACAATATAGTTCACTCTTCCCCTCTTTGTTTCGATGTTTTAAACCCAACACCTTACCTCCAAACATACTGCTATGTTCTTCAAATAACTTGAGCTTATTTCACACGAACCCTTTTACTTCTTGTGAATTTAAGTTATCATCCATCTGCATCTGGTACCATTTCCTGTCAGCTCCATGGGCTCCTGTCCCTCCGCCCACATGTCTGTCCACCCACCCACCCACCATTACACCCACTCATCCATCCATCCACCCACCTTTAATCCACATACTCATTCACCTGTCAAACCCACCGTCCCACCCTTCCACATACCCAGTGCTGGCCGAGTGCCTGCTCTGTCCCCAGCTGTGTGGGTGTCTGGCCATGCGGTGATGAGCAGAATCTGACAGTCCCAGGGCTCATGACCCTAGAGTTCACCATGGGGACCCTTGCCTCAGGATGTGGGTTTGCAAACACTGGTTTGATGAAACAGCCCATGTTTATCTGCTAGTTTTGATTAAGACGGTAGCTTTTTCCAAGGAAAAGGACGTTTTAATTAACCCAAACCCTCAAACCAAGGTTTTCAACAAATTCATTTGTGAAAAATCTTAAATGCGCAAGACATTTAAATAAAAAAAAAAGAAAGACAAATCAATTCCACATGCAACAGTTTCCTGGTGAAAATGCTGACTTCTGAGGGGAATCTGAAGGCAAGGAAACCTGCGAGTGTCCCCGAGTGTCCCACTGACCAGGAGGCAGGAAGGTCCGTCTTCCCCAGGGGGTGATGCTCAGGGCCATGGCCCCACATGGCGGGAGCTGCCGCGCTCAAGACTCATGCCACCTGCCGCCTGCCAGCGAGGTGCCAAGGAACCATATGGAAACTGAGGAACTCGGCAGAAATCTGTCTACATGACAACAAATAAGCGCGTATTTGACAACAAGAGGGTGTGACTAAGTCTTGACTCACCATCGGGAACCTGCAAGTGCAGCGTAGAAACAGCAGGTGGGGCCACCGGGTTAGCCCCTCCCTCCCTTGCCCTTTCCCTGTCACACCCCCAGCTCCATGCATCCCTGGGCTCCCCGCCCCAGGGCCTGCTGAGTTTCCTGCCAGCCCGCCAAGGGTCCAAGAGCCCCTTCCTCCTCCTCTGCCCCGCCCCCACCTCCCTGCAGGTGGGTGGAGGCCATGCGCCCAGGTCTGGACAGCGGGACAGGAGCGACAAGGGGATTTGCAGGTCCTGGCCTTGTAAAACCTCCTCATGTCCTCTCTCTCCTGCTCTCGAGTGGCCTTGGTTTCCACTTGTCCCAAGTCCCAAGGGCACTTGACTTTGTGTTTGCATCTGACTTTGTGAATGAGCCAAGTGGAGCAGCCCGGGTGTGCCAGGGAGATGCGAGGGCCACCTGCAACATACGGGCGGGGCCAGACCCAAGCTGCGATTGTAGGACCCCAGCAGGCTGTGCGATGCTCACCCCTCCCTGATCCTGTGCGGTCACGGGACACAGACAGCTCTCCCTGTGGCGTCCCGAAGGCCCCACCTCTGAGCGCCATGGTGTACCAGGTTCCCCCCGGAGGGACTGAACGCATGGTGAGCCTCCCGGAGAGTGGAGCAGGGGCAGCAGTGGCGCTGGCTGCCTGGATCTTTTTGGACCCCTCCCCTTGTGGACCCTTCTCAAGCCCTCCGTCAGGAGCTTGCTTCCTGGACCCAGGGGTCTCCTGGCCCCACTTCCCTGCATCTTGCAGAGTGGTCTTCCCCAGCTCCTTGTCCCTTCCTTCCCTGGAAAAGCCTAGAATGTTCTTGAACTCAGAAGCAGCAGCATACACTCTAGCGCCAGTGGCCTTGGCACTGCGGCTTCCCCAACACTGTGGAGCCGAGTGGCTGGGGCCCTTTGCCACCCTTGGTGGCCTGAGTGCTGGGGGACGATGTCACACGGCTGGGAGAGGGGTGGCAGTCCCGGGACTCTTGAATGAGGCGTTTCTCGGGGTCCGTGCATGTGGGAAGTGTGAAGCCCCACGCAGCCCCTGCTGGGAGACACTGAGAAGAGTCGACTTCCAGGCGACAGAGTGGTGCCAGGGCGGTCACTTTCCTGGTGGACAGGGGCCATCTCAGCAGCGCCCCCTGCCCTCCTGGTGGCTGCAGCCCTCCCTGCTCGGCCTCTGACTTGCTCTCCTGTCCACTTGTCAGTGGTCATGGGGGGCCCGGAGACCCCCACATGGCTGTTGCCGGCCACCCTGGCCACGTTGCCGAGATGTGCATGATGCAAATAGAATGGACTGGGGGTTGCTCTGTGCACCAGCCTGTGGTAGACAGAGGTGCCACTGTCATTCATGGTGGACTCATTGGCCACTCAAGTGCCCCCACTGTCCACGGATGGGCACTCCACGCCGATCGTGACAGACAGATGGGGTTTCCAGCCAAGGTGGGGGGCTGTGTGGGCGATGCTGTCTTTTCTGCCACTTTGCGATCAGGGTCACCTGCTGGACTCTCCTGGTACCCCTGCTGGTGGTCAGGTGCTGTCACTGCTGCGGGGAGCTGAGGACCCCTTATTGGGTGGGGTGGGTGAGACGTTGTAGGGGGGTGGGGAGGGCTCGGCTCTGGCCTGTGCAACCCGGTTTCCCTGCTGTGCCTCAGCCTTGCCACGTGTTAGTGTGTTAGTGGCATTCATAATTGTGTCCCCACAGCGTGGGTTTGGAGAGGACGGGATCCAGCTCTGAGGCAGGTGGTCCTTGCAGCCTGGGGGGGTGGGCAGAGTGGCTCAGTGAGGGGTGTCCCCTGAACCGCCCTCCTCCGGCCTCGGCCCAGGCTGCTCTCCCTGCGGTCGCCTCCCCCAGTAGGCACCTTCCCGTCTTCCCTCCCATTTCTGGGTGCCCACAGTGCCCCCTGGGTCTCCCCACGCCCCCTAAAGCCCTTGGGGTTTCTGAAACCTCTGCAGTCCCTGGCGGTGTCCCCTCTTCCTCCGTGAGTAAGGGTCCCTGCAGGCTTCTTACTTTCCCCCACGCTCTCCTCCAGTCACTGCCTGCTGGCTCCCAGCCCCCACAGCCTCCCTCTGGCCTCTGAAGTGGCGTCCCATGCCTGTCCTCCCAGCAGCCAGAATGATGGCTGCGAAGAGGCCCACAGATGGACACCTCTGGGGCTGTTCCACCCCAGCCTAAGCCTGAAAATTGAGCCCAGCTCCTGGAATCTTCCAGCTCCCCCAACGTGGCTCCTTGCCTCCCCCTGCCTCCCTGCCAGGCCCAGCAGCTGCTCCTCTGTGTCTGTCCACCCCCAGGGCCCAGCCTGTTAGTCCTCCCTCACCCTGTCCTGGGGGTCCCCGTTTCCCGCAGGGCTCAGGGATGGAACACTCAGAGTGGGGGATGGGGGGTCACAACAGCTCTGACCTTGCAATGTCAGGAGGCATCGCTTGGTCCCCAACTCCCCTGGGCCTTGCTGACAGCTCTGGGGGGAGCACTGGGGGCCTTCCAGGTTAACCCACTGCCCAGGGACTGAAGGGGCTAGCCTGGGGATGGTGACAGAGCCGGGCCACTTCCTACCACCAGAATCCCCAGCAAAGCAGTCTGAACGGGCTCTGGGTTTCAACTGGAACCAAGGGGGACCATCAGGGGCTGCAGGGAAGTCGGGGAGCAGGAGTGGGGGTGGGGGTGGGGGATGGCAGATCGCTGAGGGAGCAGGCAATCAGCCCTGCTTTGATGAGCGGAGCGCCCCTCACCCCCAGCAAGGTGTCCACCCCAGCCTTCCCCAGGGCCCTGCCCCCTCCCTTCCACCCCAGGCTGACCCGGACCAGAGGCAGATGATGCCGACGCGTGCACAAGGCCTTTTTTTCTCTTCCTGGAGCTGGGACTTGACAGGTCCGGAATTGAATTCCCGGCTGGGCTGTTGGGGAGGCTGTGTCCCTGGAGGGAAGCTTCCAAGGCGCTTCTTTCCCAAGTGTGGGAGGCTTTGGGAGACGGCGCTGGCAGGCGGGGCAGGGGCCACCAAGCCGCCCAAGTCGCCAGGGGACTGGGGGCCAGAGGCCGTGGGAGCAGGTCCAGCGGCCTGTGGTCGGTGCCAGGTCTTTCCCCAAGGCCTGGAGCCGCCCCGAGCGCAGGGAGAAGGGCGCACGGAGAGCGCGAGGGAGAGGAGGGGAGTGCGCAGGGAAGTGTGTTCGTGTGTGTGTGTGTGGGGGGGGGGGGGGGGAGTGAGGTGCCTCGCCCTCAGCACCCCCGCTGACCTCCCGGCGCCCACCCCCGCCTGCCCGTCCGCGGGGCAGGCACCGGCCGCCAGGTGGCGATGCGCGCCCGGTGGCGGCGGCGGCGGGGCTGGCCAGTCCCCTCCTCCCGCGGCGCCCTCCCCTCGCCCGCTCCTTTCTCTGCGCTCTCGCTCGCGCTCCCCGGCGCCCGCCAGCTCTCCCGGCCACGGTGTCCGTCGCCCGCGCCCGCCCCGCCGCCCTCGGTGACCATGGCGCACCGGGGGCCCCCGCGCGCCCCCAAGGGCCCCGGCACCGCCGCGCGAGCCCCGAACCCCGGGGCGCCGCTGCCGCCGCGCTGGCGGCCGCTCCCGCTCCCGCTGCTGCTGCTGGTGCTGCTGGTGCTGGCCGCCTGCGGGGCGGCGGGGCGCTCCCCTGAGCCCGGGCTCCTGGGTCCGCGCGCGCGGGTGCTCCGGGTGGCGCGGAGCCCGCACTCGGGGCGCGCGGAGCCCGGCGGCGGCGAGGACCGGAGGGCGCGCGGCACGGAGCCCGGCACCCCGGGGCTCGGTCCGGATCCCGCCCCGGGTCCTGCTGAGGACGGCGCGCCAGGCGCGGGCCGGGGCCGCTGGGCGCGGGCGGCGCCGGCGGCCGGAGCAGCTTCACGGGCGCAGGTCTCGCTCATCAGCACGTCGTTCGTGCTCAAAGGAGACGCGACGCACAACCAGGCGATGGTGCACTGGGCCGGCGAGGACAGCAGCGTAAGTGACCCCGCGCCCCACCTCGGACCCCCTGGCGCTGCCCCTCCGGGCCTCTGACCTGGGGCTACTTAGGCGAGGTCCCTGGATGTGTGAGCCCCTGCTTCTCTCTGGGGGCTGTCCCCGCGGATCCAGGGTCCCTGGCTCACCCTGGGAGCGCACACCCTGCCCCCAGAACCTGCACTACCCAGGGAAGTCCCGCGGGGTTCGGACCCCGGCCCCCTGGGTCCAACAGGCTCATCTCCAGGAGGGGGCGGTTGCCTGGCCGGCCCTTCCTCTCCCCACAGGCAGCCCAGCCTGGCGTCCCGGGATTCCCAGGTCCTGGACTCGCAGGAGGCGCCGCCAGGGACTCAGGACTAACTCGTTTGCGTGGTGTGGTGTTTTGAGATTCTCTGTTCCGGGGTCCCCCGGTTCCCCGTGTGACTCCCCACCAGGAGCGTGGCTGCACCCGGACCTCTTTCGCTAGCTAGCTTGCTGGCTGGCCGGGCTGGGGCCCTTCCCTTGCCGTGCATTCCCCGCTGCGCCCACCCCCACCCGCGGCTGCGCTGGCCTCGCTCCAGCTGGAAGTTTGCCACTCGCTCTCCCACGACCACCTCTGGTGGGGACCTACACCCCTCCACCCCGCGGCGCTGTACTCCCACCCTGCTGGAGGTCCTGCCCGGTTCTGGCTGCGCATCTGGTTTTGGGACAATCCCTACCTACTCTTGGAGCCCCAACTTGGCTTCAGTGGTCCCTGGGGGTCAGCACTGGAGCCGCCGCTCTGTAGCTTTACTGCCTGGGAGGAGGGGTATAGCACAGCTGTACGGGGAGGAGCCCCAGTGGCTGAGCGGGAGGCCGCACAGGGTCCTGGTGTGCATAGGGCACGGAGCGGCTGGATCCTACTTCTGCGGGTGGCCAGGGGCGGCCATAGCCTGGCCAGTTGACCCTCTTGTCTTCAACTCTGTCCAGGCCTGGGGGTCCTGCCAGCTGTAAGATGAGGGGTTCCTGGTGCTGGGGCAGGGAGCTCTGAGTGGGATCCTGTTGGATCTGGGCCAGCCAGCCGACAGGTACCCTCCAGTCTCTGGCCCTGGGTCATTTCTGGCCTCTTTGGTCAGGACCAGCAGCCCTGAGGAAGTGCTGGCCCCCTGGGTGCGGATGGCCGGCAGGGGGCAGTGTGGGCGCTGAGTGGGGGCGGCAGGTGCGCCTCCTGGAGAAGCCCTCCCCCATCTCCATCTTGAGAGAGGACGGGGGTGGGGCAACCCCAGCTCTCTTGTCTCCTGACCCCTGAACCAAGGGGCCGCCTGGAAGTCAGGAATTCCAGGGTTGGGCTAAGCTAGGAAGAGTAAATCCTTTGGAGCCAGAAGTGTCTGCAGCAGCAGCTGGCTCCGCCCTCACCCCCCCCCCCCCCCCCCCCCCCGCGCCTGCCCAGGAGGCTCACTGCCACCCTGGACTCATGCTTTCCTCAGGCTGGGTGATCACAGGGACCTGGGCAGGGGTGGCGCAAGGAGGAGGGGTGGGAAGCAGCTGCCTCCTGGGAGGCCGACACCCTCCGGATGCCCCAGAGCCTCCTGGAGCCCTGTGGGGTGCAGGGTTAGCATAGGCTAAGGGGCAGGGGCTTGGCCTGGCTCTTAGCCAACCTAGGTGGTCTCACTATGGGTGCCCATGGGGGTGGTGGGGCCCTGCAGCCCATGCTTGCACTTAGCTGAAACTTTTCCCACCTCACTCGCTACGCCCCTTGTTTGTTCCCTGCCCTGGGGGACACTCGGGGGAGGGTTGCTTTAGCAGGAGGCCTTCCCCGGAGTCATGGCCACCGGCAGTGACAGCAGCACCAGCTGCTAGCCGCTGTGTCTCATCAGGTGGTGTTTCCCAGCGCCCAGTGCCTATGCTTCGCTGCCTGGTGTCTGAGAGCGACTCCCCTGGCAGCCTTGGGGACAAAGGCCCGAGTGGGGACTTGGCAGCCAGCATGGAGGCACAGGAACTGGCCGGAGGCTGCTTGGCTGAGTGGAGGCCAGGTGACATTGTATGTGCCCCTGGCCCCGCTCCCCGCATACACACTGTCCTTGGAGGGGATCCAGAAAAGCCAAGGGCAAGGATGGACAGTGAACTGGAGCATTGGGGGTCTCCCAGCCAAGCCGGAGAGAGGCAGGGGACCCGTGGGGGCCTCTCTGCTTGCTGCTTGGCCTAGGTGGGAAATGAAGGTGTGACTGCTTACTGGCAGTTCCGCCTGGGCTGACAGAGTCCCGGCTGTGTGTGGGCAGGCCTGGTCCCACATCTCCAGGCGGCCTCTCAGGCATTCTGGTGGGCATCCCAGTCACTCCGTGGTGGGAATTCCTGAGCCTGATTTGGTGACGTCACTGCTCTGACCTGTTCTGATGTCACTGCTCAGCTGGTCTGATGTCACTGCTCTGACCTGGTCTGACCTCACTGCTCTGACCTCGTCTGATGTCACTGCTCTGACCTGGTCTGACCTCACTGCTCTGACCTCGTCTGATGTCACTGCTCTGACCTGGTCTGATGTCACTGCTCTGACCTGGTCTGATGTCACTGCTCACCTGGGCTGACGTCACTGCTCTGACCTGGTCTGACCTCACTGCTCTGACCTGGTCTGACCTCACTGCTCTGACCTGGTCTGACCTCACTGCTCACCTGGGCTGACGTCACTGCTCTGACCTGGGCTGACGTCACTGCTCTGACCTGGTCTGACCTCACTGCTCACCTGGGCTGACGTCACTGCTCTGACCTGGTCTGATGTCACTGCTCTGACCTCGTCTGATGTCACTGCTCTGACCTGGTCTGACCTCACTGCTCACCTGGTCTGACCTCACTGCTCTGACCTGGTCTGACGTCACTGCTCACCCGGGCTGACGTACTGCTCACCTGGGCTCCTTCTAGCTGCACTTGAATGACAGCTTAAGGTGTGCCCAGGGCGGCTCAGTGCCCCTTCCCCTCACTCCCATTTGGCAGGTCTCTGAGTTGTGTCTACACTGCCCAGGACGTCACATGCAGAGGGAATTCCAAGTGCTAGCCTCGAGTTGTGCCTGTCTGGGACAGTCCCATATGTCCAGTTCCTTGGGCCAGCACGGGGTCCTAGGCGAAGCCCGGGATGGAGGTATGGGCTCCTCCTTGCTGGCCGGTGCTGGCCTCTCTGTCCTCGCTGTCTCCTGTGTGGGTTGGGACCTCACTACACAGGGTCCATCTCGCCTGTAACTGATTGCTTCGTTCAAGGCCATATTTGAAGTTGTAATCCAGGGATTTTGACTTCAGCCACGCTGGACCAGCATGGGAGAGTTCATTCGTCCAGTGGGAAAGGAGAGGTAGGCTTGGACGGCTGACCTCTGGAGGATGGGCGCCCTCTTCCCCAATAGCACGGATGGGGAAATCTGGGAAGACTTCCTGGGTAGGTGGTTATGTGACAGAACCTTCCACTAGAACAGCTTGAGTGCAGGCTGGGAGAATTTGAAGGCGCACACATGAATGCTGTGTGTGTGTGTGCAGAAGCCAGAGGAAAGAAGTTTGGGACAAACAGGTAGAAAGCAGCTGCCCTGTGGTCCGCGCAGGGAAGGTGGGGGGCAGTGGAGCTGTGGAGCCAGGAGCGGCTGTATCGAGGTGAGCCTGTGGGTTGCAGCAGGTGCACCTAGGGGTGGCTGTAGACCTCCCACCGTGAGGCAGTGGCAGAGGTCTGGGCACGTGGTGACGAGCTGGGCACCTTTCACCTTGGCTGTCCTGCCTGAGCTGGGATGAGCCCATCAGAGGCTGCCGCTGCTTCAGGAAGCCTGTGTCGTGGCAGGTGGCAGTGCAGGGTGGGGAGAGCCTCAGGTGCAGACCTGTAGGCTCGCTCTTGGGGTGCCTGCCCCGTATCCAGGACAGCTAGGGTATCTGCGCTCACACCTGCTGCCTTGCCACTCAGTGTGGGGCCCAAGTGAGTGAGGGCCTCGATGCAACCTGCAGGGAGTCGCGAGGGGAGCAGCTGGTAGGACCCCAGGCTGGACCACAGGCTGAACCACAGGCTGGACCACAGGAAGGACCACAGGCTGGACCACAGGCTAGACCACAGGAAGGACCACAGGCTGGACCACAGGCTAGACCACAGGAAGGACCACAGGCTGGACCACAGGCTAGACCACAGGAAGGACCACAGGCTGGACCACAGGCTAGACCACAGGAAGGACCACAGGCTGGACCACAGGCAGGACCACAGGCTGGACCACAGGCTAGACCACAGGAAGGACCACAGGCTGGACCACAGGCTGGACCACAGGAAGGACCTCAGGCTGGACCACAGGCTGGACCCCAGGCTGGACCACAGGCTGGGCTCCTGCCCTGGCCATCTTTGGAAGTCAGATGCTTGGCACTGGCCTCAGGTGATAAGGAGGGGTCTAGAGCCAGGAGGCTTGTAGTCAGGGCACCCACGGGGCCACCCTCCACCCCATGGCAGCAGTCACTGGTGGTGAGGTGGGGAAGGGCACCTCCCTCAGGAAGCCCTCTCAGTGGCATCCTGTGCAGACCCCCTGGGCAGCCCCATGGTTCTGCAGCCATGGCCAGTGCGCTTGCCCAGAAGCCGCTGTCTTCCCACCCAGCACCTTACCCTGCCCCCCACAACACTCTCTCCTTCCAGTGCGGCTGAGCCTGCTCATCAGGTGCCACCGTGTGCCCTGGGGACAGCTAGGGCAGGGAGCTCTGGGGGTCGGGGGCAGGAGTGTCTCCTCTTGCTTGTTCCGTAGGCATCGGAAGCAGAGAGAATGTCTCTGCCTTGGAGGCAGTGTTGCTGTCCTCCGAGTCTGGCTGCACGGTCCTAGCTTTGCCTCATTGTCCCAGGGCTGCTCCGTCACTGCAGTGTTGCTCCATCCTGCTAGTTTTGCTGCGTCAGGGTAGTTTTGCTATGTCATCACAGTTTTGCCCCATCATTGTAGATTTTGGTGTTTACAAAGCGCTGCTGGTTTGGGGCCCCTGTGCTGCACCTGGGGCGCCTGGTTTGGGGTGCCTGAGTTCACGAGCCCCGGCCCTGTGCTGCATCTGGGTTCACA